TAACCTTCTATCGCGCCGAAGTCATTTGCCCGGGTGTTGGTGGCGTGGGTACCTTCCAGTGCTTCAGCCAGCCCTTGTCGCAAACGGTGGTGGCCCCCGGCAGCTTCGAGGGGTCGTGTGCACAGAGCACGCTTACGCTAACCGCTACGGACGCCTGCAATAACCAGGGCTCGAACACGGTGATGTTCTCCTTCGACAACGCTCCGCCTACCGTCACCGTCGACGCCGCAAAGATTCCCAACGTCTGCTTCACGAGCCAGGCCGTGGCGGAGAATGCCATCCTGCAAGCAACCACGGTTTCGGACGTTTGCGCCCCGGACAGCAGGAATATCGCCGTCTCCATCAGCAGCTTCGACAAGAAGTGCGCTGCTAGCACCGCCACCGTCAAGGCGGTCGACCTGTGCGAGAACGTGAACACAGGTAGAGTTGACATTGTATTTGACCACTGCACCAGGGCATCTGCTTTCCTTCATCACTACCATCGACCGCAACACTGATTTAACCCACCTTCCAACCCGGGATCGCACACAGTCATCTGGCCCATCAACTTCGATGACCAACCGCCTGTGATCACGATCGATGCCGCCGCCATCAACGCCGTCTGCCTCACGAGCCAGGCCGCCGCCGAGGCTCTCATCTTGGAGAAGACCACCGTGACGGATAACTGCACGCCTGCCAACGAGATTGTGAAGACCATCGTCCATTTCGAGGAGAACTGCGCCTTTAGCCGTGCCGTAGTGGAGGCGGTGGACGGCTGCGGGAACAAGGCTACTGGTAAGACATTACGCTGTATTCTTCCTGGTGTGCGATGGGGCGCTCCGATTCACTTCACTCACAACCACCCATTCTTTAACCATCATCTCTACACACACATATGACAGAGGAGGTACGGTTCAACTTCGACGACAAGGCTCCCTCCCTGCTCGTGTCCGAGTACGCCCTGGGCTCCAAGTGGTTTACACAAGCCGCGTACGCGTCCATCTTCTTCCTCACCAACACCTTCTCCCAAGATGACTGCACACTGCAAGCCAATATCGCCAAGACGTTCACCAATCTCGTCAAGAACTGCGCCGCCACGACTGCAACCCTCTCTGTCACAGGTGGGTATGTGTGAAATGTGTGGGAGTGGTAGGAGATACAGAGGATCAAACTCGGGATACTTGAGAGGACTAGGAGACGAGCGATATATCGAGAATACGGCTCCCCAGGATTGCTTCTCGCTTCCCATACATTTCTTCTCCCTTTCTTCTATCCCACAACAGACGCTTGCGGCAACGTGGCTTCAAGCGAGCTCATGTTCCCCTACGACGATGTGGCGCCCGTGGTCACCCTCTCCGTGGCCCAGGACAAGATCGAGGAGAAGGCAGGCATAAAGGGAGCGGCTCTTGTCGACGTGGGCCTGGCCATCACAGCCACGGACGTGTGCACACCCAACCCCAACGTTACAGTGCGCGTCTACTCGGACGAGCTCTACCTTAAGGACGCCGACAGCTGGAAGGCCAGCACGGTCCAGCTCTCGCGGGTTGAGAGCGCTCCGGGAGTCGTCACGGGGTGGAAGCTCCTTGTCGCGGCCGAGGCCTTTGACAAGTGCAACATTAGAAAGTACGCGTGCGGTGGGAATGCCCCCCAGAAGGGGAATGGACGTGTTTACACCATTGTGGCATGCGCCACAGATGAGACAGGCCTTCGCACGTGCAAGGAGACCAATGTGGAGGTCACCCCGAAGGGTGCCAAGGTCACCACGGTCATCAATGACGGGAAGAACTACCTCATGGCCATGGACGACGTCAATAAGTTTGGGACTCTGTAGAGTGTTGCGCAGGCAGCGATTATCCGCATATGCAACACCCTTTCCAGAACTGTCACATGCAGTTACAACGCACGGACATCAGAATGCTTTGTGCATTCATTCACTGCTTCCGAAAATTATTCATTCAACCCTTTCTTTCATTTTCCCGTATATTTTTTCAATCAAACATTTCCTTCCAAAATCAAGAAATCGGTATACATGTGTTTCGTCTGCCGATGCTCCGCGAGGGGTGTCTGTCCCTAGATTGATAGAGAAAAGGCACTCGGCTTCATTCCTTCTCTTCAGGAAGGAGTGACTGAGTGTGGGAAGCAGATACACGTATTATATGTAAGAGAGAGAGCCTACCTCAATTGTAGCTGTCGGAAATTGACCAACGTGGTGTGAAAGAGAAAATCCTCATTTTCTTTTTCGCTTTTTGAAAAAATGTACTTACATCTCCAGTTGAGAAATGAAAGAGAGGAAGACCAACCTTAATCTTTGTCCTCCAGTCTTGTCTTGTCTTGTTTCTTTCGAGTGTACCCTCTGGGAGGGCTTTTTCTGGCGCATGCTGAAGCAGGCCTACACTGTACCGTGCAGAGCATCACACCCCCGTGGGAAGAGTGCTCAGGTCTTACACACTTCAACCATCTCGGGGCATTGTGCGGCTCTTACACATGTGTTGCCCGTCATCGACCATGCGAAAATTTTCGATATGTTCCGATCTCTCTAATCAGTCCCCTCTATCTAAATATGCCCCAAATCTCAATAACACTACCCCAATTGAATGATTCTGCCCTCTCTCTAGTTTATAAATATACATTCTGTCAATTTGAAACATTTTCCTACCGTAATTTTTGCCTCCCTTTCGCCGTCCTGTGATGGTGGTCTCGGATGGTACCGCTTTTCGTGGGCCTCCAGTCCTTTGCTGTCATCGTAATACTTATTACACGGCTTGCAGAGAACCCTCCTAGCAAGCGCTGAAAGAAAGGAAAGATGAAGCGTCGTGACAGTGGACCGATAGTGAGAGATCCAACAACTGTCGGGCATGTATATGGTAATGTATGATCGAGAGGATCAAATGAAACATGAAAAGTAGGTGTTCTTGCAAATAAGACCTGCTTTTTTTCCTTCAAAACCGTGGCATGCATTTTCACATCACTCTTATCGAATTACTATGCTTCACGTGAGAGTGATTTTTTGGTCACAACATTGTACCTTGACTGATTACTTTGCTTACAATTCGTGATAGATAAAGTTGCATCTCCTGTTTACATTCAGATCCAATCTCAAGTATGACTGCGTACATTATCGTGTAGAGCAATGAAATAAGCATTCTTCGTACCTGTCAACTCAGATCTAAGAGATAGTTTTAAATTCTGATCCTAGCAATCCTGCTCTAAGATAGGTAGGGCCCTTACTTCTAATAAAACACAAATCACAAAAGCTCTTCTTTTCGGGCTGTCTCGACATCATTGAAGCATTAGTACATGAACATTTGCAATGCAAAAATACACTCACGAAGATAACTTAATTCTGCATGCTGCACCGGTCTGACAATTGAGGAGTAATGCATGGCCTCTGATGCTAGGAAACAAAAATTAGTAGTCATCATCCCTTTTTAGGGGGGGGGAAATATGTGCAACAGGTGGCACGAAAGATGGCATGGTCTACAATGTTTGCATCATTCCCAACGCTTTCCTGATTCATTCAAATTGCCTGAAAATTACGCACTTGGGTAGGTAGCCAGACGGATACACTTACCTTACGTTCCTCCAATTCTCAGAGATTGATTATCAGATAGACGTTGACTGCTTTCAATTTTTATTTCATAAGAGTACTCTTCACCACTTTTAAGCCTTCAAGCGCATTTACGAGCTGCTTTCGCTTTTTCTCGTCACCTGAGAAAAAGAAAAAGGTCTCTGACCAAGTACACGACTCTACCGCGACCCGATCTAGATATGATATGAGACTTAAGGAATGCGAATCCCTGAGGAAGTGCCAATCTAATTGTCATGTAGTGACATTTAGGAGCCTTCTTGCACGTATAGGATGGAAGTATAAATGTTCCAGGCGCATTTTAACGGTTGCCTCAGGCATAGTCAGTCATGAGGCCACCTACAATGAGAATATGCAGGGTGTACATTCGCAACTTCTCCTCATTTGGATGTATCGAGGTTAACAACAATGAAATATAAGTACGACATTTCCCAAAGGTAAATAGGAGGAGTGGGCTACATCCCTAGCTAGCACCAAGGTTCTTTTCTTTTCTTTTTCTATTTTCTCCGGTCATACAGTATCGCATCCAGGTATTTGGTGCTCAACTATGCTGCCCCCTCCATATCCAACAGTGTCGACGTCAACTTATCCCAGCGTAAAGTCTCGTACCTACCACCCGCCAAAGGCAAATGGAAAGGAACGATCGTTACAAACTGTCCGGCTTGGCTACCACCCAAATCCGCTTTTTTTGGGGCTCCTCGGCGTTTCTGTACGAACAGCTGCCGTCCTGGCCCATACCATGTGTCACGCCACCGTCACAACCAAGGCTTTGCCATCTATTCGACACAAAATGTAATTATGCATTGTGTACGCACAAAAAGAGCTCACGTTTCGTAGTGTCATAAGCGGTGCATAGAAGGATAGGATGTACATATGATTTAGCGGTCAAGTTGAAAATAAGCACACGGTCTTCTGAAAGCGAGGTGAAAAAAGCAAAAAAAGCAAAAAAAGCAGAAAAAGCAGAAAAGCTAGAAACCGAATTGAACAAGTAGCGAATTTTCCTGGTGAATCTAGGCCTTCATTTCTCCTTCTTATTACTGCGTGCATTTTTTATTTGTCTTTTCTTGTATACGAGATAGAAGCATAAAATGTTCGTTTAAAACATTTTAGATGGAAAACCTTGAAGTCTCCCGCCAGTACTGGCCCATACAATGCATCAAAACGCATGTTCACTTAATAATTAGTCGTTGCTCAAACAAGTCTTAGCTCTCCATGGCATAGCGTATACTCATACGACCTCGAAACTTGTTCTGTTTAGTCACCCATCATCTCTGTATGAACGGAGATGCAACATGTATATCTATATTTTTTCTGAGACAATTCCCTCTGCAGCTCTTCTGCTCTCCTCTTTTGAGGGATGACCGACATTCAGGGATGTTCATGTGAAGGAAGTGTCGTCGCGTATGTGGAAGACAATCAACACTGAAGCACTCTCATCCATAGTAAACAATTTTCAGCACAGTATACAATATACAGCTCATTTTTCAACATCTTCACCATGAAGTTCGCTACCTCTTCTCTGATTTTGGCCAGCGCCGTTATCATCTCTGCGATTGTAAGTTTCACGTGGCATGATGTCCTCTACCTTTTGACGCCAAAATACAACCGGAGGCGCTTGATGCTTTCGCAAATCCTGTACATGGCCCTCTTCTTAACCTCCACCTATTCTCTCATAACTCGTAGGGTCGAGCCACTGCTCAATTTCCTACTTTCGATGCAGTTGGGCACTCAACTGTGAAACCCATCTCCGTGAAACCTGGGGGGCGAGTTACATTAACAACCAACTTCCTCTTTTTAGAAACACGGCGCCGTGAGCTTCGTGAGCTTGCTTTCGCAGATGAAATCTTGTATTGGGTGAGTTGCTCAGCAAAAGTGCATGCATTGGTGCTGCGGCGCCAATATATATCCGAGCGAACTAATTTTCTCCTTGCAGGAACGCATCACACAAATGCTAGCAATAAGAAAGGATTTCTTACAACTTCTCATGCAACTGATACACACTTCTCGTAATCAATCGCCAACATGCACATTACTAAGGCAACAACAAATGAAGACGATCTTCCTCCTTACGGGGACTATTGGCCTTTCACAAACAAGAACAAAACCAAAACCAGCCATCCGAAAAGCAGCAAGCACGGCAACAGTACCGACGTGAGGCTGGTCAGGTCCCGCATTATTCCCAACACATGGCGACCCAAGTAAGTACGACATCACTTTGCAAAGTGAGCAAACTGAAAGTTGCAAAACATGAAGACATTAAACGCAGAGATACCTCTGGCAGGCTTGTGGTGCAATCTATCAACTCTTTCCATCAAACTTGTCCTTCCAATACTCAAACCTTCAATCACCGCACCCTTCTCAGGCTCCGATCGAACATCACGGGCTCTACAAATTTTATGAGCGTTCCGACTACTGGTTTGGTCGTGCTGAAAGATTACAAGATCATCAATAAATTCCGTATCGGTAAACGATACCCATCTGGGACCGTCATTTCATTTTATGTCTTCGTAGACTATGGAGGTTCTCCTCTTCTGGACGAAGTCTTCGATGTCTATGTCAGATAAGCACCCGACAATGTCCGTGGATTATCAAATTGCTATCATAGGGCATCTGTTATCTTCGCTTTGAATCCAGAATTACTATGTGTGTCGTTGCCGTGTCCGTGTACCTACGTAAGCGAGGTTTCACGCATTGATCTCGATATCAAGAAGTGTTCAAGAATTGCTCAGTCGAAGAGAAAATAATGATACCAATAATACCACCAGTTTCAAGAAATGGTTGGTACTTATGCGTCTTAGTGTGTGACGGTTCCATGGGTAGTTTGACTCCCAATCAAGGAACTCTCAGTGATGCTCACATGTAGTTTCTCTGAGGAATTAAAAAAAGAATGTGGTCTTTGTGCTTACGACTCTTGTCACATTTTCTGGCTTTTTCCATTTTAAATTGTTAGTCCATATTCTAACCATTCTAGTTTTCGTCGTTTGGAATGTGACGAGCCAGTGCCCTTGATGGTCTTTCCCCTTATGTCGACAGATCTAGATACTTTTTAGGGTAGATATCCACCATATTCTCACACTGGAACGGAAAATAGAAACAATTATTCAATCATCAGACGTCTTTTGGGTAATTCTAGATGCGTGATGTCTTACAATCGGTTAACGCCCTTCCATAAATTGGACTCTCGCCTCGACACTAGCTGGCAACTCCTTCAAACAAAAGGTCGTGGCTATATGACACGTTTGGTTTCCCAGCTAGCAGCAGAAGTGAAATTCTAGCGTCATTTCAATACTTGATGCTACAGCTGGGACGCAAACTTATACATTTCAAATCAAAACGACGGGGGTATAAGAGGAACGTATCATTTCGTGTCCGAAGTCGCTCTGGAGAAGGAGCGAGCTGAAATATCTTGGACTACCATGTCACCCCGACGCCAAGACAAATGCATGGCCCGGTGTCGGGGCCTTGCCCATGGTGTTTTGGAAGTGATAGTGCCTCTTGTGACGGGGCATGCGGCGCTTGTGCCCCGTGGGCTTGAAAAGAACATAATCTGCCTCTTAAACATAGTCATGAGCCGGCCCGCGAGCCGCGGCAGATCTGTCACAGGACACGTCTATGCAAAGCCCGCTCACTGCTCACGATTTGATGCCTCACATGCATCGGCCACTGCTCAAACGCATCCTTTCAGGAGCTTTGAGCGACCTGGAGCGTTATTTTGTGCATTTTCTCGTCTGTTTGTGTTACTTTTCCCCTTTTCACTTTCGTTGTCCTCTCTGTCACAGGACGAGGGTCCCTATTCCCTCAAGTGCAAGAAGAAGCCTTGAACGCCACAAGTAACCGTGACAGCAGTCTCACCGGCAACTACGGCTCTACAATATATTTATCTGGCATACAGAGAGGATGAATAATCTCTCAGAGGCGTTTTCGAAGCTAATCTGGGGAGAGATGCCGAAAATAATCCCCTACCGGAGCGTTCCCGACAACGTGCCTTTTACTCAGGTAGGCGTTGACAACTTTATCACACGCACGCACGCAATTTCAGTGTGTAATATAATTAATCTACGAGATTTAAGAAAAAATAGGTGCTCTGTTTGGCTAAAGGACAGCTTAGTCCTGCAGTCATGCTGTGTGAGGTACTCCAAATTTTCATTCTCGTTAATCCAACACCTATATTTCGCACAGCTTTTCCAGCATTATCCCGTACTCAGTCCGTTCTACACAGAGTATGAGAAAAATTTCCATGCTTCCTCCTACGTCAATTTCGCACAAAATACTTGGCCCGCCTTACCACTCGCTTTGTGCGGGATCTACGGCTTGATGATTGTCGTGGGCACCAAGGTTATGGAGTCTCGACCCAAGCATGAATGGAAAACAGCCTTAGCTTGTTGGAACTTACTCTTGAGTGTTTTCTCCTTTTGCGGCATGCTCCGCACCGTACCACACCTCCTTCAAAACGTCACGACTCTGCCCTTTAAGGTGGCCCTCCCCATTCCCTTTCAAACCCGACGAGCATTCCTTGTCATTCCTTCCCGTTTGCTGACACCAATCGTATCAAAACTATCACTGGCTGACACTTCTCTGCCTTTGCCTGTCCGTCTTCCTCTTTCCCTTCTACCGTTCGTCCCCACCCAGGACACGATTTGCCGGCACCCCGCTGAGACCTACGGAGAAGGGGCCTGTGGGCTCTGGGTTATGCTTTTCATCTACAGCAAGGTCCCCGAGCTCGTCGACACGGTTTTCATCGTCTTCCGCAAAAGCAAGCTGCAGGTACTCAAGGCGTGGTCCCTTCCATGGTTTTCTCCTTTCCTTCGTTGATTCTCTTTGCCAGATTCCTCTTCGTCTCCCGCGTTCCCCCCGGCATTCCCCTCCCTTTTTAAAGTGTTCGAAGAAGCATATCACCCATCAGATTGCTGTCGTGTCCTGGAGGAGCACCTTTTCCCCCTTCTCCCCCCTCGAGCATGTCGACCCCTCTCTCACTGCTTCTTACCCTTCCGATGGAATTGGCCCCCCTCTCCCTTTCCCTCCCCTGCCCGCTCTTCAGTTCCTCCACTGGTACCACCATATCACCGTCCTCCTCTTCTGCTGGCACTCCTATGCTGTCACCTCCTCCACGGGCCTCTATTTTGTCGCTATGAACTACTCGGTCCACGCGGTCATGTACGCCTACTATTATTTGGTACGTCCCTCCCTCCCTCCCTCCCTCCCTCCCTCCCTCCCTCCATCCTTCCTTCCTGGCCGCTCTCCGTCCTCCATCCCGTCTTTTCCCTCCAGCCCTACCCTCCTCGTCGCCGAAGTGTACTGCTCTCCCTTCCCTTGCGACATGACTGCGTGCTGTGTGGACCCGCTTTTTCCCATCCCGTCATGCGTCATGATCACTTTCACGTGTCTCCACCCTCAATGGTCCCATCCCCTGCCTCGTCTTCTGTTGCTTTCCCTCTTCCACCATCTCCTCCACTCCTCTTCCTTCAGACCGCCATCAAAGCTTGGCCCTCCTGGATCCCTCCCTCGATCATCACCGTCGCTCAAATCTCCCAGATGATGGTCGGCGTGGGCATCTGCGTCGCCTCGTTTTACTACCTGTACACGGACCCTGAGCATTGCGAAGTAAAACCCCAAAATGTCTACTCAGGAGCCTTGATGTATGGCAGTTATCTCTATCTATTTTGTGATTTCTTCGTACGCCGCTTCCTTCGGGGTGGGAAGCCGCGATTGGGAGAAGAGCGCAGCGCGGTGTTGACCATGACGAAAAAGATCAAGGACATGTAAGCGCGACAGAGGCTGTCGCGAAAGCTGGGAACAGGTGGGGATGGGGCATCCAGAGCAGCCATGACTTTGGAGGATGGGTAGCGCTCTCCCCATGCACCTCATGTAGCCCACACATGTGTGCAATCGAACACTTCCATCATCAATTCGTACAACGGATGTGACGGCGGGTCACGTAATTGATGGCAATGACAGAGAGGAAAGGCAGAAATAGGTCTTAAAACATCAAAGCACATGGTAGCGTCCATAAAAGAAAAAAAGACATGATAAGAGACCACCACACCCAGCAAGCAGTGTGAAGAGGAAGGAGCCTGAGAGGAACGGCATAAAAAAGGCGGAGATTGGAACGCAAGGGAGAGGAGGACCATCGTTGCCGGGATTTCCTTTTTGATCTTTTGCTCAGTGAACCCTCCTGGGCCCGCTTTCTGCATAGTGCAAGAGTTTGCGCACGTAAAAAAAGGATTTACAGATCCGTCTTTCGACCGATTTTGAAAGTCACCGACACGGATGGAAGGACTCTTGAAGCAGGCGATGCCCCGAACAACGCATAAATTGTCCTGAGATTACTTGCTTCTTCCTGGCTTGCGCCTCGGACATCGCGTCAAGGTAGTCCTCTTCTGTCCGTATTCTTCCTCCTGTGGTTTTCCCCTCTCTGTACACTCTCACTTCCCCTGTCTCCACGCCCAGTGAGCACACCCTCACACACACATTTTGCCTTGCGTACAAACCCGCTTCACTCGCCCCCGCCTCCTCCTTTCCCTTGCCAGATGCCCCTTTGAAGCCCACTGCCTCCTTCTTTGTACATGCCCTCCGCCCCTCACGCTTCCGCCGTGTCATCGCATCTTCGCCGTGCAGGCACCCTAGGCACCGTGCAGAGTACCCACATGCTCCACGACACTCGACTTGCTTCTTACTTGCCTGGCGATTCCCACCGAGATCCCGCCCTTCCATGTTCACTGCCCCAGCCCGAACGTCGCGGTTGTCCAGACTCCGTGGTAGGAGTACGGCACCCGCACAGGGAGATGGATCACTGCCAAGGGCGGCCTCTCCATGCGCTGGGCATCGAGTATGACCAGGTCCGACGCCTGTCGCCGCGTATCCAGCACGTAAAACAACAAATAACCGTCATCCTCCTCTTGCCTCCCCGCCCCTTCTTCCTTGTCCCTACCTCCTCGCGGTACGAAGACCGCCTCCCCGGCAAAGCAACCCGGAGGTAGACAGGGCCGGTGCACCTCCATTCTCCCTCCTTCGTCCAAATGCAGCTTGGCCACAGAATCCACGAAGCCTTCCTCCCGTACCAAGGCATTCACATAGGCGAACCTTCCCTTTTTTCCCACCGTGCAAGGGTTCAGCGTTGGGAGCTCGTAGCCATACGACGACGCAGCCAAAGGCATCGGCCCCGCCTCGACCACTCGGGCCCGCCTGACACTCGAGTCTCGACCGTCCTGCTCCTGCGGGTCCTCCGTCCCGCCCTCCTCCCCGCCCTCCTCCCCGCCCTCCTCGTACGCAAACGAAGGACGTATCGCCATGTCTCACATTCCAGCTCGGGAGTGAAATCCGCCCTGTACATGTCACGAAACTGCTCCTCCACCTTCTCCCGTGGGGATCGGTGCTGCGCGACCAAGACTTCGACCTCGACGTCCCCATCTCCTGTCTTCCTCCCTTCCCCATTGCCTCCCTCCTTTTCCCACGCGTTCACAAAATGGTAGTTTGAAAAGGGTGGATCGATGTCTACCTCCGCCACACGCCGCAGCGTCGATTTCTCCACCACCCAGGCCTGAGTTTTCCCGCCGTTTTTCCACACATACTGTCCGCCCAAGGAGGAGAGCCCGAGGAGGGCTCGCGCCAGGGCAGAAGGAGGAGCCTGAAATGGGCTGAAGAAAATGATCAGGAAGCGCCCGGCCAGGACAAAATCGTGCACTGTGGGGATAAAGGCGAGGGGAAAGGATCTTTGCCGGAGGAGGACGGGCTGGGCGGAGGGGGAGGACGAGGGAGAGGAAATTTCGAAGATGTTGAGGGCCAGACTGGGGCCCAGGAGCATGCCAAAATTGTACAGAATGCCCGTGTCGGGGTCTACCTTGGGATGGGCGGAGAAGAAGGAGGAAAGCCGTCCATGGGGTCCGGCTGTGGCAAGGGGGAAGGAGGATAGGGATCAAGGCGGGGGAGAAAGGAAGAGGGAGGCGGTGGAGCGTCGCGTTAAGAAAAGCGTGCAGGGGACGCACGTACAGGCAGCAAATGAGCCTATGTCACCCTGTCTGGGACGGCCCCTTGGACGCCCCAGGCCTAGACATGGGCCGAACACAACATGCGCAGGCCTCTGGGTTCCGAGTCCTTTTCCCTCATCTTCCACTGGTCGCGCCGAAAGACTTCCTCTGCAGACCCGTACCCTCTCCGGTCTAGGCCAGCCCTTAACGTCAGGATGTATATCCTGGGAATATCGTCAGCCCCACCCGCCGAGCCCCAGCACTCACCGAAATCTTCCGGCTCCCTTCGCACGGCCAAGCTCACGGGGTCGAATTCAAAAGGGAGACCACCCTCACAGAGGGCCAAGGTCCTCGTCGTCCCTCCCTCCTTCGCCCCTTCCAGCACCAGTACGTTTGTGTTCAAGGGATTGTCCGGGATACGCCCCATATTCTCCCACCACTTTCCCTCCCGGCCCCCTCGCTGCGTCCATACCCCTCGACCCCCCCAGGCGCCTTCTTTCGCGTTCTTTTGGGCCAAAAATTTCTTTCCTTGCAAATACCTCTGCCTGAAAATACAGCGACCATCCGCGGTAAAGGTAAAGGCGGACACCATACCGTCTCCGTCGAACCAGTGGCTATAACGGAGTGTGGGGGAGGCGCCGACCCGGATGCGCCCTGCCCCATTGCGATACAAGGTGCCTACGAGGTCGGAGGGCACGGTACCCTGGAACGGAAAAAGAAGCGCCATGTGTGAGAGAGGGTCATCGATCGATGGTTTAAATAAGCTTTGAGGGTGCTCCGAAATTTGTGTGCCTGGGCAGCCAAAAATCAACGCATAAGTTTTTCATTATGTGCGAGATTGGAATCCCACGTACCTCAATGCATGCTGCCGATAACTCGATCAAATCAACGTCTTCTGCCGGCTCCAAGCCTGTTCGCCAAGGTCGCTCTTTCAAGGCCTCCGCGATGTCTTCTGGCGGTGACGGGGCCGTGGACAATGTACTAGCCAAGATGGAGGAGGAAGCAGATCCTATGCCTGAGAGGTAATACTTATGGAAGGTCCCTGGTAATATACTCGGATGCGACGTTTTGTGTGTGATAGATCTTGAAAACACAGAGAAATGACAAGTGTTCCATGAAGAAAGGCGTGCAAAAGCAATGCCAGACCCCACGGGAGGAGGTAAAGCCAGCGTGGCCCCGGCAGAAAGGAAGAGCCAGGGAGGGAGTGAATGTAATGAAAACCCCCACGGGCGTGCTTGACGTCTTGGTGGCATTAAGTATCTGCTGCACGAAAGGTTGGGTCTCCTAGGGGATGGAATGGGGTGTGAGGTCGTGAGCATGTGTTTCGTGTGATTCTTGAAGGAGGTTAGCGAGAAAAGCGAGGAGTCGGCGACCCCCTGACAGGCAGGCCCTTAAAAACACTAACACCACGCCTATTACAGAGCGGGAAATGGAAGAGTAAATCGGTTTTTGTGTCATGGTGGATGCAGAGAATGCATTTGCACGGGAGCAACTTCGCCTTCGTGGGCTTCTCCAAGACCACATTGCAAGCTTCGCGAGGAGGGATGGCAACGTCGAAAACAGCACACGCGTTGTATCCGCCTCGGATGGTGTTGTTCCTCGATACATCCGCATCCGTCGCATGGCATCGTCAGGAAACAATGTAGGTGCGAACAAGAATCACGAGGAGGAGGAGCATACCGTAAGGGAAGCTGTCTTGGCAGCAGGGGGTCGACGAGTCCCCTGGTGCCCTCCGTATGCAAGTGAAAGTTTTTATGCCTTGCCTCCTGAATTTCGCATCGCACAATGGCCGCTGTATCAGCAAGGAAAAGTTTATGGCATGGACGTCGCATCTGGGGTGGCTGTGTGGGCGCTGGGACCGAGGCCGGGGGACAATGTGTTGGACTTGTGTTGCTGCCCGGGCTTAAAATTGTGCATGGTGGCGGAGCAAATGCACCACACGGGGACGATCACAGGTATGATCAGGTACTCTTTCAGTGCACGAGTATTCGGAAGGGAAGTCACGGTTTCCGATCATGAGGCACATGACGTACTCCGCACCCAAGCCCTCGTTCCCTCCTCTACCCCGGTGTCCCCCGTCCTTGCACTTGCAATTTCTCTATTTACATTTTCCCCAAGGCGTAGACATCTCGCGGGGAAGGCTGACCGTCTGCCGCCAGATTTTAGTCAAATACCAAATCGGGCGCGCTGCGGGGGTCCTCGTGTCACCCTGCTCCGTGGTCCCCCTCTGGTGCCGTTTGCTCTGCGCCGACGGGTGTTGCTTCGAGACGGAATGGGATGAGGCATGGGCAGGTCGGGAGGAGGACGTGATTTTCGACTCGAGAGCCTACGACTGGCAGGTGGGTGAGTTAGGGAGAAAGAGGGGGCGTGCCGTGAACAAGGAGGGACGGCAACGGGTACAATGAAGGTGATGGAAGCTGCCCAAGGTTTCGGAATCCAAAACGTGTGCGGTCGAATCCCTTCAAGGACAGGATATGCTTGAGAAGAGTGCTGTTCGCTTGGATCCATAAAAGTGCAGGGAAAAAGGATCCTCTCTGCCGAGTTCTTCACATGCCCCCTTCTTCATACTATTTTTTTCATTTCTTCGGCCTCCCAGGGCATGGAGGCGCGGGGACAAAAGCGAATGAACCGCGGAGCTCGGCGCAGAGAGTCTTTGGCCTTGCGTAGAGTCCTGAATCCCGCAGAAAACGGAGCAGGGAGGGAGGGAAGGAGGGAGAGGCCGAATGAGGAAGGAGGGGGCTATGACAGGGTCTTGGTGGATGCGGACTGCTCACACGACGGGTCCACGCGACATATGTTGAAAGTGGCAGGCCTGGATGACTCCATGTACGTTTCCTCTCCCTTTTCTTTCTTCTTTCCCCGCCCCTATCCCTTTTCCTAGTTGGGGTCGTGACCTCTCTATCCCCGTCTGCATTCCTTGATTCATCCGCGGACCACGCCTCCACATGTGATCTCATTACTCCCTCCTCCCATATTTCCATCCTCATGCGTCCCTGACCCCAGCCGAATGCGAAGCGGCGGCTTCTTGTCAGAAGAAAAGCTGGGGGGTCTGGAGGAGCTTCAAAGGGGGCTCTTGCGGAATGCTTTCCGTCGATTGCGTCCGGGCGGTGTGCTCGTGTACAGCACTTGTTCGCTCTCGCCCCGACAAAATGAGGATGTCGTCGCACATTTACTGAAGGAAGAAGCCAATGCTATTTTGGACCCGATTTTAGAGCTAGGGTTGCCTCTTTTTTCATGTGAGATGGAAGAGAAGGGGGAGGGAGGAAAGAGAAGTGATGACAACGCACAGGCAAACGAGTGCTTGCATGCGTGTGGGCGAGGGTATTTGCCGTGTCGATGGGGGAGTTTGCCGGGTACTCTGCTTTTTGAGCCGAGGTTTGGTGAGACGAGCGGGTTGTTTATAGCACGTATCAAAAAGAAACAATCAAATAGCAACGTTTGATTGATGTGAATCGCATGTAAATATCATGATAATACAGATATTCAATAAATAAGTTTTGTACCTTGTATTGGTGTATGCCGTTTTGTCAATTTGCACTGTGAGACCTATTTTCGTACGACTTCACTCCACTTTTCGTTGCCTGTCCAATTTGCTCGATGTTGCTCGACCAATCTTTACAACATGCAAACTTGAGCGAGCGTTCTAGCGCATCAAGTGATGAAAGTCCACACCATGTACGGGTTGGGCATTCTTTGAATTAGAAAAATCGCTAGCAGTGGATTACGCGAATCGAACAAATTCGGGCTTTTTGATTCGTCTCCCGGGTTGGGCCCATATTACGTAGTCAGCTGAGTTGTCGAGGTTAATAAGGATAATGATAACCATATTTCATCCCGCAACGTTTATAGTTTCGGTAGACTCTGCTGCGTCAACTAAGACAAATAATGTGAGCTAGTAATTGATTGTGACGGGACATTGTTCTGTTGGTTTAATTGGGGAGCTAGTGACCATGACATGTTCGACGCACCGACAGCCGTATCGATCGGATCGCCGAATGTCGAACCGCAAATTCGTACCTCTCATACATGTATACACAGGCAATATCTGGCAAAGTACATGCACTAAAATTACAAATTCCATTGTAAATAAAGGTATTAAGGCATTTTGCTTTCATTGGTTGCCCTTCCGAGGATCTGAATGCTAGCATTGACAACTCTTTGGAATCGAAGAAGACTGATAACGACGCCTCCAACTGAAACTCTGTGACATTTTTTGGGGTACATTATCTCCTGCGAAAAGCTTGTTATAAGCCATGAAAACTTCAAGCCTACATTCAACCAAACAATTGAGAAAAATTCCTTGCACATTGCCGGAGCTGTGGTCAAATGATCCACAGTTGGCAGATCATCAAGATGTGCTTGAGGATGTCATGGCCGAAGTCTACGATTGGGCAGACCTATTTGATATGGTGAGTACAAGGGCAGGAATGCTTGAACAATCTTAATTTCCATGAAAAACTTGAAATGATGTGATATCTGCAAATTTGGGGCGTCAAAAAGCAAGGACAATGCGACAAATCTTTGTTAACGCAGGTGACCGACCGTTGGATGGCTTCTGACGATTCTGTGCCAAGTATACGGTCCCGGTCGCATTGACAACCATCATCTAAGGATCAAAACGCGATCTTCTTGGAAAAATATAGGAGTGCTTTAATTGTAACTCACAAACATATGCATCAAAACCTAAACCTATGATTGTATAACAGCCTTTGGAGACCTTGAACAAGTGCTTCCAAATCTCGGTGGAAGAAAACCGAAAACGATCCATGCATCCCGATCTTTGGGCCCCCGTGCCCGACATCATGGACGCGCTTCGAAGAACGGCAGAAGACATGGGCGACGAGGTGTTTGCGACTTGGATAGAAGCTGGCGGTAAAGAGACACGGCATTGGTCTTTCCGGGATACTTGGGAAGCGGCGGGGGCCGTGGCCCATGCCTTGGTGCATGACTGGGGAGTACAGCCCGGGGATCGAGTCATGTTGTGCTATAATTTTAGTTTTGAGTATTTCCCTGCCTTTCTAGGCTGCTTGCGGGCGGGTGCCGTGGCCTGTCCAGTGTATCCGATCGATCCGGGGAAGATGGAAATCGCGCTAAAGAAATTTAAGCTGGTGGTGGAGGATACGGGGGCCCGATTAGTCTTGACGGACAACTTGATCAACTGGATCAGGATCGGATGTGGGCTCTTTTATTCCCATCTGATGCCGAAAGGCCTTGAATGGAGGGTCACTGACCAGCTCGTCCAGCGCCCTCCCTCCTCCCACCCCTTGCCTCCTCCTTCGTACGATTACCCCGACCGTGCGCCATCCGACATTGCCTTTCTTCAGTACACGAGCGGCTCCACGGGAGACCCCAAGGGCGTGATGATTACCTATGCAAACTTAGGCGCCAATGTTGGCCTCATTGCCGGTGCCCAACGCTTCGCCTTTTCCTATGCCGACCTGATCCCGGTCATGCACGTGAACGGCGACCGCTCTTGGTTCACGCGCTCGCGTTCTGTGTCCTGGCTGCCCATGTATCATGACATGGGCTTGGTCTATGGTGTGGTGGCGCCTTTTTTCATGGGCGCACGCATGCATTACCTGTCGCCGATCACCTTTTTGAAAGACCCATGCCTGTGGATCCGCTTGTTAGCCAAGAAGAAGGCAACATGGGCGGCGGGGCCAGATTTCGCCTACCGACTGTGCTCGAAAAAGTGGGACGCCAAGAAATGGCCGGTGGATGAATACTCCCTCACGCACATCATCTACATGCACACGGGGGCGGAGCCAATTCAATCCACGACGCTGGTGGATTTCAACCGTGTCTTCCGTCCTTATCGCTTGCATGCCCGGGCTCTTTCTCCGTGCTACGGCTTAGCGGAGAGTGTGGTGTGCGTCTCCTGGTTTGATCCGGTAGCCAACCCTCCTGGGAGCCTTATCGCTGGAGGGGACAAGCCAGGATACGTCTGTTGTGCAGCGGATTTCCGGGTGGATCTGAGAATTGTGGATCCGGACACGTGCGAAGAAATGCAAGACGGTACGGCGGGGGAACTTTGGGTGTCGGGACCCTCCGTCGCTTTGGGGTACTGGAACCAGCCAGCGCTGACCAAGACTGCATTCCGGGCCAGACTAAGCCGGGCAGCGCCCTTAGAGGCTCGGCCGTGGGCGAGGTTTGGGAACGGGGAGTACCTGAGGACCGGGGACGTCGCCTTTATGCAAGATGGCCGACTTTACTTTTCTGGTCGTTTAAAGGACATGATGATCATCCATGGGAAGCGTTACTATGCCCAGGATATTGAATTTCCGGCTCAGGACGCCTGGTCCGCCGTGCGGGGCGGATGCATCGCCGCGTTTTCTATGCTAGCCGAGGGCAAAGACGAGAAAGAGTTGCATTTGGTTTTTGAAGTGGCTCCCGCCCGATATTCTCAGCACGCTTTTCGAGAGCATGTGAACGAAGTGGTACAGGCGGTGAGGAAGAAGACAGGTTTGACTGTGTTTCGAGCTATCGCCGTTCGAGATCGCACAATCCCCAAGACTACCTCAGGCAAAATCCGACGGCGTGCGACGAAAGAGGCTTTGCGTACCGGTCATCTGTGGGTCTTGTACGATTCTCTCTGCCTCTTATCTCCGGGAAAAGGGAGAGGTGCGACCACTCTAGAAAGGGCAGAAACTGTCTGCGCTGCTTCTCTCCCTCGGTCGTATCGTCCGCTCTTGAAAAGGTCAACAAGCATGGGTTATTTGAGCAGCATGGCTGAGTCGATCGGTGAAATTTGGGACTGTCTGTTCAATGCGTTGGCTGAACATGTGGGGGCCTACGTGGGGCTGGACACAGAATTAATCATGGGATCGTTGAGGAGAAACATAAGTGGATCGTCGGAGCAGTTGGATGAAAAGAGAAAGGGAGAAGGGAAGGATGGAGCAGTCAGGAAACAGGATGGGAGCGGCATGATTGATAACGAGCCATCTTCAAAGGATAGAATGGTACGCTGCGGTCCGACTGGTGCCGGGGAGATTGTTGTTCCCACTTCACCTTGCCACCTGCCGTCGGGCTCATTCACGTCCTCCTGGCAGGAGCAGGAATACTGCAAAGCGGCAAAACTCAGCGAAAAAGGGCCCGTGGATCGGCCGGAGCCATGCAAACAAGTTACTTATTTACCCTTTCCTGCTTTATCTCTCGTGTCTTCCTGGATCAATGGTGCCGCTTCTGATTTGCGGAAAGAGCAGCCACTGTGGGCAAATGGAAGGTGGAAATTGGCAGCTGCCTCGGAAGTGAAAGCAGGCTAAGTCCATCGAAACAGCAATACATGTGGCTAGGGAACTCTGGAAAGCGTTAGTACAAGCAGCTGCGGAATAAATGCAAGAGGAGTGGGGAATAGGGAGCAGGATGTGGGAAGCTACACAAAAAGATCGGAGGGGTATCGAAATCGAGGACATGTAGGATACCTCTACAATCATGAGACAAGTAAAAGGACGCTGTCTGCACGAAAGAAATTTCTGCTACCATTTGAGGGCCAATACACCTCAAAACCCAGAATATTGCCATCCTATGGCACACCAGCGTCTTGGCCATGGGTCAGCAAACGTTCCGCACGCAGGAATCCAGTAACAAAGATTGTGTGACGACCGTCAGACACATTCCCAAAGAGACAGATGCGCGCATGACAATGTCTCAAATCCTCGTAATTCCATTAAAGCAGAAAAATTCTTTGAACGAGTGGGCCAGACGGGCCCCACTGGTTTTTAAAAAAACACAATTCCCACCCAAAAATGCGAGACAGCTGTGACCATGAGGGGCTATCGACATGCACTGAGGGCCTTGGCGTGTGAAACGTATGTTTTCTACCGTCACTGCCATCGGTTTAACTCAATACACATACATACTAACATGCGTGCTTCTGGGTGCTAGATGTTCGCCTGCACATCTTCGCTGTAAGTTTTCCCTACTGTTTCTATACCCCCCGATGCTTTCATGCCGCACCCTTAATTTTTCAACGCGCTCTGCACCCCTGAAAGGATGTCCGGGTCCTCAAATGTGAAACCTGCCGCCAGCAACTTCTTCGGGATGGCCTTCTGACCGCCAAGAAGCATCTCGTCCCCCATTTCCCCGAAAAGAAGTTGCGCAGCAGGAGCAGGGAAAGGCAGAATCTGAAGAGGTTAACAAAGGTGGAATATGTGAGCGATCTTGCTGCGTTTGTCCAGTCAACCACCTCCTGAGCCACAGGGAAAAAAAGAAAGAAAAAGTAGATATCTAAGCTCACGTACCGTTGGTCGAAACAAGGCCTTGCCCATCGCCGCCGTGAACTCGGCGTTCGTGGCAGGTTCTGGGGCCACCACATTCACAGGTCCTGACAGCCGGGATGCCCCTAACAAAAATTGGATGGCACGCACGGCATCAGTGAGGCTTATCCACGAGAGGTACTGTTGGCCGTCGCCGATGATGCCTCCCCCGCCCAGCTGAAAGATAGGCAGCAGTTTCTTGATAATTCCGCCTTCCTTGCTCAATACGACACCGAATCGGGCATTCACCACACGGATACCGCGCTTTCCCTGCAGCTTAGCCGCTTCTGCTTCCCACACACGTGTCACTTCGGCTAAAAAGCCCTTTCCCAAGGCTCCCGTCTCATCGAAAACCCGGTCTCCCTCGTCGAAACCATAGTACCCCACCGCACTGGCAGTAAGGAAGACTTTGGGGGGATTTTTCAACCCTTGGATAGTGCGAACCAATAAGGCCGTGCCATCTCGACGACTGTTGAGGATACGCTCCTTTTTTTGCTCTGTCCAGGCCCCCAATCGACCAGTCAAGGACTCGCTCGAACCAGAGCCCACGTTCTCGCCCGCCAAGTGCACGACAGCATCTGCGCCTTCCAGGGCGGCCGCATTGATGGCGCCCGTGGCCGGGTCCCACGAGGTGGCCCCGCTACGTCGCGAAATTTCTACCACTTTCACAGATTTACCTGCGATAGTACCACCTTGAAGCGCTTTGGTCAGGGCGCGACCGATCATCCCAGAGGCCCCTGTAATGACGACGGTATATTCTTTTTTTCCGCCCCCAAGGGAGAGGTTTGTGACGCTACCCTTCGCACCGGTGTTGAAGAAACCCATGATTTGATCGACTGGGCTGCTGGTGGTAGACGAGGTCGCAGATATGCTACTTACGGTACCTGTACGCGTCGGCCCGGTGCTATTATAATTTATGTCGAAATGGTTCAAAAGTGAGCGTGCATACATGAGCGTGCATGAATGATTACCTTAAACCCACACATCCCCAGAAACGCACAACAACAACATTTAATCTATATAAATACCAAGTATACAAGAAAAATTTCGAGAAATGCACTGAGAATGTTAACAAGCAGGAAGAGCGCACCAACGTCTCTGACTCACTTCGACGCCGCTTTTCGATGGACGTACCTTATTGAGCGCATACGATATGGCGCTGCGAGAGAAAAGCTCGTTGCGAGGTATGGCAGCAGCACGAAGACCAACGCCGTGGTCAAAAAGCTACGTCTATTACCAGGCATGCTGAAATTCTGTTGGAACTGGTTAGCGTAAGATGGAGTCGTCAGGTGATCGGAGGCATGATGGTCGAAACCGGAGTACGTATGTCTTTCAGGTAAAAAGTGCCCAAATCCCAACCCGCAAGGCTGCAGGAGCAGTTTTCAACATGCGGTATACCACCAATATCGGATTAATTTCTATGATAATTTGTGTGTCAAGCAATTCGCCGTGATCATCTCAATGAGGTAGTGAGAAAGCGAATGTAAAATCGAGCCGTTAGCTCCACGACATGAGCTACACCGTAATACTGCTACCACTTTACTCGCTGGCAAAGAGTTTTCACGCTTGCACAAAGTGATCCTCTCGCATCATCCAAAACCCCATTTTATCTACGACTGCTTGAGATAATTATTTCTTTCCATTTACCAACTCCTGAATGCCCAGCGGTCCTCGGCGATTTGACGCTTTCAGTCAAACTCGAACCACCTCTTGCTAGCTGTGATACAATATCACTAAGTCCTCGCATATATAAAGAGGTGTATCAAATACAGAAGACGGTCCATAGCCCTTCCTATTCTGCATTACTGTCTCCTTACTCAAATCCTCTGTTGCTTTGATCTCTGGCTTCTGAAAGCCTTCAATTCAGCTTTCACAGTGACCGCAACCTTTTCCATTTTCATCTTCACTCGTGTTTGAAGCTTTCTTGGAGGGGTTTTGACCGCTTCATTTCATTTCTTTAATCACAGCACCCCTGTAGATGATAGAACTAGCCGGCTGTGTCTCCCTGCACAGAAACCGTTGTAGGAAAGACATCATGTTAATGACCTGGACCTGTCACCTTCTATCAAAAATGCGATTTACGTACCTGCTAAATTCAGAAATACTGGTAATCGTGGAAGAGGCAATGGCCAGAAGAGCCTCACGTGTATAGAAGCCTTGGTGGGGGGTAACGAGCACATTCGGAAAGGTCCTGTGCATCCAGAAGCGTGTGTATGAGCGCCAAAGAGGAAAATGGTCACGACAAGAAGCACATAGCGAGCCACCAACTTACATGAGACGGATGAGCTGATCATCTGATACAACCTCCTGGGACAGGTCTCGATAGAAGAAATCTCCTTCCTCTTCGTATGTATCGAGGCCTGAACGAGCAAAGAGAGAAGGGGATCGGTGACGGGTTTTGTACTTGTTCAACTACTGGTCCTTATCGTCACGACTGCGTATAATTGTGATTGCCAAAGAGTGATCACGTACCAAGAGCGCCAATATGCTTCTTCTTCAAGGCTGTAATGACAGCCTTGGTGTCCACTAACCCACCGCGAGAGGTATTGATAAGAATCACGTTCTTTGCATTGCGAGTAGGAGGGATGCAAATGCTCGATTAGCTATGCTTCGCTCGCACACAACAGGACGAAGGTACACAAATATGTTATATGACGTAACACCTCTTTATACCTCTTTCATCTTCTTGATATTGCGGGGCCCGATAATACCCTGGGTGTCCGGCGTCAGCGGCATGTGGAGCGAGATAACGTCCGAAGCCTGGTATCCAGAAAGGGCGAAGAGAGTCGAATGGGTCACAAGCTACATGCATCGAGGATGAGTCTGAAAGCAAAGGAGAAAGTGGACATTCGCTCCTTACCTGAAGCACTTCGTCCAGTGATCTGTATTCAAAGCTGCCCCCACCTTCAATTTTGCCTTTTTCTTGGAGGGCAACAAGCGAATGACTCTCCACCACGTCATATCCAAGGACATGACAACCAAGGCCCAACATGATCCGGACAAAGCATTCGCCTATGTTTCCAGTCCCGAGGACGCCCACCGTTTTCCCGGCCAGCACGATGCCCGGCGTCACGCCTTCCAAGCAGAAATTCCCTTCCCGGACGCGGTTGTACACCTGATTCAAAAACCCAAAGGAGTGCTTGTGTAAAAGTGGATACTTTGCATCAGGCTGTCATGCGTTTCTTTACCTTGTGTGTCTTGCGATTTAGGGTCAGTAAGAGTGCCAGCGCATGTTCAGCCACCGCCTGGGGGGAGTACGCGGGCACGTGGACTACTGACAGCCCGCATTTGACGACATGGTCCAGGTCCACGTTATTGCAGCCGGCGCTTCGCAAAGCTATGAGCTTTACCCCTGATTTTTTCCACGTGTCGATCACTGAGGAGGTAATCTCATCGTTGACAAAGCAGCAAACCACGTCGTAGCCTTCTGCCAAAGAAGCGGTCGTCTCTTCCACACGAGCTTCCAGGAATGTCAAAGAGTGTCTGATGCGTATGGTAGCTATCGAGTCAGAGCGCTGGTACATTTATATGATGGAAGAGTAAGAGAGAGGTAAAAATGCGATGTTCCTTACGTACCTATCGGCAGTAGCAAGATCATCATTGGCAGCAATCAGGGATTCCTTATCGTAATCCTTTGTGGAGAAAACCACCACTTTCATGCTTTTACGCTGTCATAATCATTGACGATGAGTACTTAAAAATATTGTGAATCGACTTCATTGCAGGCAAACCAAGCCAGGCCGGGAACGAGGTAGTGTTCTTTTATTTCGACCGAAGTGCTCGCAGTTGAGAGAACAATGCCGAATGCCGGCCTTCATGGTACACATAAAAAAGACCTATTAGCAGATTATGTTCTCTCCGTGGTCTTTGTTTGGCGGTTAAGGTCAAGCCGTGAACAAGAATGGAACATACACGGGTATGAACCGCGTAGATTGTGTGCGTGCCTCGGGTTTCAACTCCCCATTGTTTCTCAGAATGTGACGCACGCTTGAGCCGTTGCAAGGAGCTCGACGGTTGAAGTTTCAAATCAAGGGCTGCCCCTCGTGGACAAAGTTTCTTTTTCCCGGTGGTTCGTGGTTGAAGAGGTAATTCTGGGGGCAGGTTACATTGTTGGGTATTTTTTTGGCATGAATGAGTTTTTTGGGGGTGTTTAGCCCCATAGAAATTGCCTTGTGGTGGATACGTACAACAACGGTGGCATCACCTCCCGTGGAATAATCCGCAGACGGCTCTTTCATCCGACGACGCAAAAAGAACGAGTGCAAATTAACGAGAATATGTGGAAGGGTTTTACGTGAAATATTAATTATTTCTCGCTATATTTATATGAATGAAATTATAATAACGTGAACAGTGAAGCGAAGTCGTGCGGGATGTTTATTCTCTCCACCATGTGAAGTGGAGATTTGTCGATGACTTTGTTTCTCATGCCGCGTGCTTTCACGCAACAGTTGTTGGTCGGCGTCATAAGTGCCTGGGTTTCCTATATTCCACTAGAAAAATTTGCCAATGAATCGTCTTGATATTGCGGTAATTGGTTCTGGTCCCTGCGCTTTAGCGTTGATAAGTCGCCTGGCCGCGCCGTCCGACGCTATCGACACGTCTGCTGACTTCCTGTGGGGGTTTGACTCAGAAACAGAGTCGTTGCAATCAACTATTCGACGATTTTCTGGCTTAAAATCTACAAAATGTGATAAGTCTTCAAACAATGAAAGTCATCTACACGGTCGAGTGAAGGTTTTCGAAAAAACTGGCGCATGGATGGGGAGCTGGGACGGGCTCTTCGAAGCCTTAAACATACAGCATTTACGTTCTCCTCACGTCGCCCATCCTAGTCCGACGCATACGCATGCCCTTCTGGCTCATTCGAAGAGTATGAAAGGAGATGTTCGCGGGAAAGCGGAGGAAGAACACTTTGCGGATTTTCAGCAGCTCCGATATAGGGGCTGTCATCGCGCCCCGTCTGTGAAGCTATTTCGATCTTTATGCGAGCACCTTCGCCAGGTCATGGAATTGGACTCACTGCTCGAACAAGGTAAGAGGAAGAACGATCTTTCAAGCAAAAAAATCGGCACCATAGTTTACATATTTCTCTCTCATACTCCGGCTTATAGCCACAGTCGTCGCGATCGAGCCTGTTTATGAGCATCGGCAGATAGGAAAAGATGTGACATCTTTCCGTTTGACCTTACGAAGAGATGGTACTCATACGCAGATCTTGGAGACCGTTGAGGCCAAGTAAGTTCTTGACGATCAAGCAGAAGCGATTGCATGCTTCCCCCCCCTTACCTATATGTTTCCGCCTCCTGACACCCAGGTCAGTTGTTGTGGCCACGGGTGCCACCAGCTGCCCCCGCCTGCCGGAATGGTGGTCCTTCTGTCTAGCCTCTCATGGTAGCTTACAAAACTTCCCGCCTTACGCACTGCGCCATGCCTGGGATTTGCCACAGGATCTCTGTGCGTCCTCCCCCTGTTTCAGCCCCTTGCGCGCGAACGAGCGGGTGTTGATCGTCGGTGGAGGTCTGACGGCAGTGCAACTCGCTGTCCTGGTTGCCGATCAGGGTCACAACTATGCATGTCTTGTGTCACGGCGAAGTCTGGAAGTTAAGCAATTCGACTTCTCTGATGCGTGGATGGACCGCAAGCAGCGCCCTGGTCGGCTCAGGGCCTTTTTGCATGCAAAATCACACAAGGAGCGCCTGGCATTAATTCAAGCGGCTCGAGGTCTATCATCCATTCCGCCTGAAGCCATTGAAATGTTACAAGCGCGTCGAGATCGCATTGATGCGAGGGAGTGCACAGAAGTCGCGTCTTTCCCCCCCCCGCGTTGGGACACACGGGTGAAAATGTGGCGCGTGATCCTTGAATGTCACGAGTCGGCAAGGAAAAAAACACCCGGCAAAGGAGCACTTCGAGAGGAGCTTTTTTTTGACCGCATTTGGTGCGCCACGGGCAGTGACGCGCGGCTTGATCAGCACCCTTTACTTGGTGGGATGCAGGATCATCGACCTATCCAAACATGCGATGGGTTTCCTTGCTTGACACCATATCTGGCTTGGGATCCTGACTGTGATCTATATATTTTAGGCGCTCCCGCAGCTTTAGTGCTAGGACCTGATGCGTTTAACTTAATGGGAGCCCGCACAGGGGCAGCACGGGTAGCCCACGTCCTTTCAGAAATTCTTATTAAAAAAAGAGATGAAGATTCTTCGGAGGGACTCTTGCAAGCGAAGCAGAACGTGGCAGCCTTACAATTCAACTATGATCGAAAAAGGGAGGGGGTTCGGGGAGTTGGTCTCGGTGCTCACGACACCAACAAAAACGAGAAAAACAAGGGAAAAGGAATTTGCCCTTTAAGGGGAAAACCTAGGCGAAGTTGCTGTTGAAAAAGATTTCACGTGCAAATAAAGAAGTCTGAGCTCGTCACATGTGAAGCCCAATACGAGGGACCATACAAACTGTGTTACGTGAGGAAACCACTTAAATTTTCTTGCACGAACGTTGACACGCGGTGGTGCGGACAAGAGTTTTTATCATAACGGAAATTTAAAAACCCTCACACGACGGATTCCACTTATAAGCACGAACTCTTCACGAAGTAAACTCTTCCTTCAGCGCAAGGGGTACCTGCTGTTGTTAAGAATTCTTTCTAACCTCGTTCGCGCCGATATCTTTTCGTAAGCTTTTACAGGACAACACAGTTTGGTCATGCAGATCAACGCCATGTCCAATAACCTCCCATCCAACGCAATAGAGCACGGGAGACCTTCAAGATCTAAAGCGACGCCTTTCCATGACTTGAAAGATGCGACTCAGGATAATGACCTCGCTGCATTGATTTTCCCACCCACCCCCCTTGGCCTCTTCACAACAATACTACCTCTTACCCCGCCAGATGTTGATGAGAGTCCCACGTATGTCAAAGAATTGTGGAACGACTTCGACCGGATACAATCGGTCCCCACAAGCGACAGTGTTCAAAGTTCAGAGTCTTTACAAGGAAAATCGCATTTTGAAGAGCCATATGACAATTCTCGTGTCATCAATCAGCGGATGACGTTCACAGACATAGAGCCAGTTCTACAAGAAGACTCTTCGGGGCGGCAATCAGACCTGAAGAACAAGAATCGCACAGCATATTCTTGGAAAAAAAGATGTCGACGTTCCAGGGGCTCGTACAGGTGTAGAAAATGTGGCGGCGCAAAACGGGCGCACGACTGCCCCTTCGCATGCAGACAAAAGAGTATTGCAACACAAACTGCTCTTGAAATCACAGGAGTCAATTTACCCCATACATCCGCGTTTCACTAATAGTTATCTTACAGCCCTTACAAACAAATTTATGAAAGGGGCCGGCCTTGCTCTTGAGCTCTTACATCAAGTGCGAAGCCAAAGTATTGATTTTTTGGGTTGCGTTCATACATGCCTCTCCTATGCAAGTTTTCTCACTTATCTTGTTTACTTTTCCAATTAGTCTTCCAAAAGCAGCGTCTCCTCATGCCCTTCCACTTTAGCTGCCGCCCGTTCCAATTCCCGGACAAGAGCAGCCTGCGAAGTGGCCTGAGGCACGTATGCATGCGCTGCACACACCGCTCGAAGCTGCAAAAGAGACATGCCGTGCAGGTTATCCGGCAGTGAGTCTCGTGAGAATCTTGTATTGGGCTCCCCACACTCCCGCTTTATATCCCCTGATTCCGTCCCATCTGTAAGACGAAGGGGTCCTTCCCTCTTGCTATGCGCCACGAGTTTCGCAATCATTTCGTCCTTGGACAGCGCCGCCGCAGTTGTTTTCTTGGCCCCACTTCCCTTCTTATCTCCCATTCCCATTTCATCTATTTCTTCCTTGGGCAACAGTGCTTTCTCTTTGCACAGGTGGGCAAGCTGCCCGTCTGTCAATAACCACAATTCACCCTCATTTCCTCCCAAGAACTCCCAGGTCCGCAAGGATTGTAAGTCCTCTTGCTGCGCTCTCTTAGCCTCCTTGTCGGCTTGGTGGGCCTCCGCTTTCCGGACCTTTTCCCGATGCGCCTCGATCTTGTCCTTATCATGACAGTCACGCAAATGGTCTTTGTGAGCCTCGCGATCCTCGGGCTTGCATGCCACTTCCTCCCCACACCGAGGGCACGCGTCGAGCAAGCCTTGCACGAATAAACGGAGTTGCAACCGGCGATCATCTGCTGCTTGCTCTCCTTCCCCCTTCTCCATCCCTTCCCGCTTCCGTTTCGAGCGGGCCAAGCGGGCTAGTTTGCTTTCCCGGGCCCGGAGCCGTCTTTCTTGTTCGGCTCGCAATTCTCCCCGCATTTCCTTTTCCACCCGGTCGGAGACAGGGAACAGGAAGAACCCAAAGGGCTTCGTACAGCCTTTGTTCCCACATACCACCTGTCGGTGGTAATCATGCGGGTCGTACTCGAAGGAACGTCGGCAATGTGGACATTTATGCAAGGCGGTGAGCGCCCCAAAGTCACAGAGACACGTGGAGCACACGAAGGTTTTCAAGCCCATCATCATGTAATTATACGTGTACGGAGGCAGACCGTCGATGGGCTGGCCCCACTCGGTCCTACAACGTGGACAGTAGATGCGGCTTCGGAAGCAGTTCTCGTTGGACCGTGCTAATGTCTTGGTTTTCGTCGTCGCTTTCCCCTTCTTGTTCCCTTGCTCTTCCTCCCGTTCAGGTTCGGAGAGCCGCTCAAAAGCTGTCACCACTGCTTGAAAGGCTTTGGTCGCCTCTGGGACTGAGCCACCCAGTCGGTCGGGGTGGACGTTCAAGGAGAGGCGGTGGTAACACTTCCGCAGCAATGCAGTGGGGCTTTGTCGGCTTACTTTAAGTCCGGTACACCCTAAATTGAGAATCGCAGCCCAGTCTTCCTCCTCGCCAAGTTGCATGATCCTGTTGACCAAGGCCGATGCCACATCACCATCGTCACCAATGTTGTCCTCAGCCTTTCCAAGTGTCTTGTCAGTCGATTTTTGATCCATCCCGGGGGCCGCATTTGTCGATTTATCGGCTCCCCGTGTGTCTTGAGGTAATTGATCAAGGACTCTAGCAATTCGTCAGGGTAACCCATAGGAGACAAACCTCGCTTCGCGCACTCTTTTTTGAGCTCGCCGGCCTTCATGGTGGCTGGATTGCGGCCGTCAATTTTCATCCCTTCTCCATCGAGAAAGGCTTTGATGCGGAACATGAGCGTACCTTTCTCGCCGGTCTGGGACAAGCCGTTCTCCTTGAGAAAACCTTTCAACTCTCCAACCTTCAGCTTCTCCAGACCACCGCCTTTGGCTAAGACATTCCAGTTCTTGCTCATGCCTACAAAACACTTCGGCTCGAATTGATTGGCTTCAGTACTCAATGCAAAAAAGAAAGCGCAGCACCACTACACTGCCACAGCGGGGGCAGGCTTGCTGGATATAAAGCGGTCATGAAATTCGCACCAATGAGTGTCCCAGCGACGAATCTAAGGGGTTTCTAGCGATGATGAATTGTTTATATTGCTGGTACACAGCGTAGACCTCAGCCTGCATAACACCCAAAAGGGACGGAATACAGCAATTTCCTCGCAAACCAACCCGGAACAAGAAAGGTAACGCTCCTCCATGGCCAGACACCCCTCGATATTTGACTGAGGCCTCGTGCTCAAGCAACATACCTATTCAAGCGCGATTTTCAAGCTAGAGGGCATTATAAGGGTGGAGAATGAACTCTTTCTGGTGCTTGCGGTGGTCCGGCCACGCATTCAATGATATGCTGTCTTAACCCGTTTAGAGCACCTGCAAAACTCGCGCATCACCTCATTCATCCATTCGACAAACTAACCAGGTGTCATGGACACAATAACCAATGCCTATGGGAGTGACAGCGACACGGAAAGCACGCCCACAGGAGTGTCGTCTTCTGCTCCGACATCCACCCTATCATCCTCAGTCTCCGGGCCCCCCGGCGGCCCTTATCTCGTCAATCGCTCCGTCAACTCGGCCCCGTTTGTGAACCCTGCTTTGAAAACCGTGATGAATCGTCCTGGTTTTATACCGCCAACGTCGCGGGAGCTCACCACCAACGTGAAGGCTGCCACTCTACTGGCTCCAATTCAGGGACCAGAGCATCCTTTTCGTCGGGAAATGGACTCGATGGGAGGCACGAAGCTGGCCACGGGTGGTTACAAGGAAGACGCTGTCATGGAGAAATGGAATTTCCATGAACAATTTCATACCTTCCACGCTCAAGGGTACGCGAGGGATGACGTGGCCGGGGGTATCATAGGGAATGTGCATAATTACATGCGCAAGGAATGCCTGAGGGACCCGGCTGGTCCGACAGCAATAAATGCGGGCAGGGTGACAAAACCGAGCGGGAGCACAGCGTTGGAGCCCGTGTCGCGACGGAAGCGAAAGGGCGTGGAAGAAGACGAGGATTTGGGAGAAGAGGAGGATGGTCCGTGGGCTCCTGCAAAGGAAGAACCTGTCATAACACAATTGGAGGCGGGGACCTTAACCGAGGAGCAAAAGCGGCACCGGGCAGAGCTGGCGGAGCGGAAGGCCGCCAAACACCGCGGCTACGACGAGGACGAGGATTTGGACCGACGGGATGAGCGAAAAGTGGCGCATTTGTTGCCTCCGCGCCATGACCGGGACACGGTAGCCTCGGAGCCCACCACGCAGTTTCACGGTAAAGGCGAGAGTGACTACCAGGGACGGTCCTGGGTGGAGCCACCGGGCGGGCTTCGGCCCGTGGAGACCGACCATGCTTGTTATTTGCCGAAGCGGTGCGTGCATCGTTATACGGGCCATGGAAAAGGCGTGCAAGCCATCGAGTTCTTCCCGGGCACCGGGCACCTCCTCCTCTCTGCATCCTTGGACGGTACCTGCAAAGTCTGGTCCGTCTACGATGAGAGGCAACTGCGACGGACTTACTCAGGCCACACAGCTGCAGTCCGTTGCATCAATTTTAGCCCGGATGGCAGTCGCTTCCTGAGTGGGGGCTTCGATCGTTTCCTGCGCTTGTGGGATACCGAGACTGGACAATGCATCTCCACCATCACCAACCGTAAGGTTCCGTACGCCGCTAAATTCTACCCGCCCAACGACAACCTCTTCATTTTTGCCGCTTCGGACAATCGTCTGTACACGTACGACTGGTCCTCGGGGGAGATGGTTCAAGAATACAATCACCACCTGTCCGCGGTCAACACCGTCACCTTTTACGACAATAACTCCCGCTTCGCCTCCACTTCCGACGACAAGAAAATGCTGCTGTGGGAGTGGGACATTTCCGTGCCTATCAAATACATAGCCGAGCCTGGGATGCATTCAATGCCCGCAGTGACCCCCTCGCCTGCGGGCGACTTTGTGGCGTGTCAATCGTTGGACAACACTATCAAAATTTTTGGTTGCCGGGATCGCTTCAAGCTCTTGCACAAAAAAGTCTTCAAAGGACACACCATTGCTGGATTTGCTTGTCAGCCCGCATTTTCTCCCAACAATCGATACTTGGCCTCTGGGGATGGGGAGGGAAAGTTGCACTTCTGGGATTTCAAAAACACCCGGGCTTTGGCAAAATATCGGGCGCATGACAATGGTCCGTGCATCGGCTTGGTCTGGCACCCCGTCGAAGCCTCCATGGTTGCGTCGTGCGGGTGGGATGGCTTGATTAAATTGTGGGAATAGAAAGGAGGTCTGGACGGGCAGCGAGTCCGGCGGCACCTCACACAGAAGCATTTAAGTCAAAATTAAATACAAAAACTTGAAAGAGCGACTCATGGCATTCAAAGGATTTTTTTGGAGAGAAAATGTTGTTTCTTATGTGCTCCTTAGGCGAGAATGGGCCACGAATGCCTCAAGCGGTCACATGCCGAGCGGCAGTACTGCTTGCAAGTGTCACACGCTGGCTTTCTGTCTACCGTCACTTGAGGACGTCAAACCAAGTCACGCCCCCCTGCATGAGCCACACGATAGGCACCCAAAGCCATCTAAAAATTCCGACCAATCGATTGCTCACTTGCAAAGGTCAAAGCCTTTGCAGTGGCAATAATGTGACGCAGGCTCGGAAATTTGAGAAATCGAGCCTGGACAAATGCCATGACGACGGAGTAACGACGGAAACCGTCAGGGGAGGCCTGTCGCGTGCTATCCTAGTTTTTCCCCCCCCGAAGTCATGCGCGTGCGTACAAACCGCCTCCTGCGCTGTGCAAACTATCTCTGTCTTTTGTCACATAACGATCATTGAATTACGTGTTCTGGCCAGGTTTCTGGCTGTTGGTGTGGGACGGCCGCCCTGCCCGTTTCCTGCTCGCAACGACCCTCCACAACGGCTCCAGTTCAACAACCTTATGCCTATCTTTTTCCCGTGCCTTTTCTCCACCGTACCACCCGCGTGCCACATACCACATGCTCATGGTGTACACAATATACAATTCTTTACAGACACGACCGATATTTGAAGTCTTTTCACCATAATGGCCATCAAGGTAAGTCTTGATACGAGAAGTGGTCCGTTGAGATAAGGCGGGAAAAAGTGACGCCCTTCCCGCGCAACTTAGGCAGGTATTTACTCGCGCCTCGCCTCCCCACCCCTGATGACGTCTCTCTACATACATAAAAACTGCACACGAAACAACAGAAGTCCGTCCCTACCGCTGCCCGTGCCGCCCCGGCCAAGTCTGCGGCCAAAAAAGCCAAGGTGGCTCCTAAGGCTGCGAAGCCTGCTGGGAAACGGGGTCGCCCGGCAAGCGCTGCTAAGAAAGCTGCCAAACCCGCCAGCAAACCTGCGTCAAAGCGTAAACCTGTGGCAAAGGCTTTGCCAGCGGTGGCGGCGCCCAAGCCGGCCGCAAAAGCTGCCCCCAAGCCGGCGCCCAAGGCTGTCAAGAAGAGCAAACCCGCCCCCAAGAAGACCAAGCCGGCGGTGAAGAAGACTAAGCCCGTGGCGAAAAAAGCGACTCCTAAGCCCGCCGCGAAGAAGAGCAAGCCCGCTGCGAAGAAGAGCAAGCCCGCCGCGAAGAAGAGCAAGCCCGCCGCGAAGAAGAGCAAGCCCGCTGCGAAGAATGCTTTGCCCGTTATCAAGAAGGCCGCCAAGCCCGCGGCTAAGGTGGCAAAGGAGAAGAAAGCACCCGCTAAAAAGGCGAAGGCCACAAAGAAGTAAATTGTCGAGCTGGCGTGGCGTCAAGTGGCGAGAATTAACGGACACGTGCTCCCGAAGTGTGTATGAGTAATTTTCCGGGGGATTGGCCTGAGTAAAACACGTAACAAAATTTATGGAGAGGGCAGATGTTGAAAAATGACAGGGAAAGGGGGGAGAGAATGAGGATCAAAGCTTTCCTGCAAAAACCTAAAAAAAAGGAGCTTTTGAATCACACGTGACGCAAGACCAAGAAGAGCAACGGAAACAGGACTGGCAGCTGGAATCCAGATATTGGGCCTTGAATTTGACAGAGCGCACATCATTGTTGGTGGAAATATATATTCACACAGATGGATTCTCTCTTTTAACATCCTGAAAGCTTATTGTACCCATTGTGCTATCACCTGCCCCATCCACGGAAAGGATCGATACAATTTGCAGCTTTCATTACACTTTCATCCCAATGATTCAAACAAAGCGACAAGGAAGAAAAAGACACCAAATCCTTGCGTGAAACTTATCCTCGTGAAGTTGCGGACGCTCAGAATGCATCTCTGTCCTCTGTTGCTTGACAAACTCTAATGCCACTTCTACTTCTTTTTTTTCAATCGTGCTCTTTCCAAGGAATACACCTGCACTTGAAAGAGCAAGAAATGGAAAGATAGGGCGAAAAAGGACCAGTTTCTACCCTGCAAATATATAATGCATGGTGATTACCGTATTTTTAGGTGGAATGTCAAAAAGTCATATTATGACGTCACGCTTTATTCGTTTGAAGATCCGGGTGAAGGTGAAGAATGTTGTCATCTTGCTTTATTTGCGTTTAAATCCAGCAAGGAATACAAGGAATAGGTTATCATCTTATTATCTATTATTTTTTCATACCTTAGAAGGAGAAGAGATCTTAGGAAGGTTTTTTAAGTGACAGACTCTTTGCTGCGGCACTTGAAAAGAATGTTGAAAGAGCGAACCAGATCTTTATCGCTGACTGTAGCGCAGCCGTGTCCCCCCATTCCCAAAGCTTATTACCCCACCGTCAACGCACAGGCAAACCATTAGAAGTACAGCCCCTTCGAAAATATGTTGTTGCGGAATACATCGTTTGCAGTGACCCTGGTACCGGTGATAACGGCATGGATGGCGGGTCTGGCTGAGTCGTTCATTATTCCGTCGTGTGTCGTAACCCGATCGTCAGGTAAGCCAGAAGATGAGATGACAACAAGCTAAAGCCCTCCTCCTGACAAAGTCTCCGCAATCTACCTTGCTTTTAAATCATTAAGCCCTAAGTATGTCACTGGGGCACCCGGAGCAGGCGCCATCGACGGCAACACGTGGTGGGTACCTCGGAGCCGGAGGATTTTTGTTCGCCTCCTCGTTTCTCCTCTCCCCATCTCCCAGCTGGGCACGCAATTTACCTTCCGGACCTAGCAAGGCCGAATTACTGGAAAAAACCAGGGCTAAGGACTCTGAGGATCCTGTCGAAAAGAAAGCCCGGCTTGCGGCCTTGCGAAAAGAACGCTTGGAGCGTCAACGGCAACTCGATGCGGAAGAGGAGGCTCGTAAAAAGGATCCGAACCGTAAAGAGGTAGATATCGACGCAAACTTGCGAGCTTCTTACTATTACCCCACCGCTCAAAAACGCTATCTTCCACGTGTCAAAGCTGCGGCAGATGCGTTGCCAGCGGCTCGTGAAGCACTCCAAGCCGGGGAGTGGGAGAAGGTTGAGAGTTATGCAGCCAAGGAAGCCGACAACGCCGCGCTCCCCTTGAAACTGTATGCATCCTCTCTGACAGGACAAGGGCTATCGTTGGACGTCTCGTACGTCAAAGTGTTGAGCCAACAAGGTGACGTGTATGGGAAGGAGCTAGAGAACTTCAAGAAAGCTGTGAAAAGCAGGGATACGACTAAGGCCTTGACGTCGCTAGGGAAGATGGAGTCCGCCCTGGTACTCTACCGTAAGACAGCCAGGATTGACAAAGAAGACGGCGGTGTAGGAGAATTCCCAACGGACACCAAGCTGGGTGCCAGCTTCGGGAACAATAACCCTACCCTGTACAAGAAGAAGTAATTAGCGTTGGAGCTTTGGGAGGCGCGCAATAGGGATGTGGAAGAGCGGGGGGGATGTCACATATCGCATTAAGACCCGACTTAAAGAAAATCGTCATGACTGGGCAGCCCTTGGAGCCGCTTTAACAACCTGTGCACAATATTTTCTTCAAGCGCCGACGCCAACCTTACATTGCTTCTTCTTCCCCCCCCCAACCCTAGGTCTATCAACCCAGCCGTTGCTCTATGTTTATTGAGCCGTTGCTCTATGTTTATTGGATAAATCCCAGCTCCGACCAAGGACCGGGATCAAAGTCATCTTCTTCCTCTCGCTCAAGCAAAGTGAATGCTCCGTAATGCAAACGCGACGCCCCTCCGAAGGGGACCCAGAAAGCACGCCATGGCGAGGGCGATAAAGCTTTATCCAACAAAGGGTAGTGCCGAAGAATGCGCCAGGCCACTGGTCGAGCCTCCCCCAGCTCCCGAAGCCGCCGGTCTATCCATTCTACATCGTGTACGATCCGTTCGTCTTCGGAGGTAGCCTCTTCTTGGGCACGTGCTCGCTCCTTGCTGTCTCCTTCTCCGGCCGCTCCCGTGGACGGCTCCGGAACCCCCTGGTCCCTGACTCCTCCCGGCGCGGGAGGAAAGAGCTCCACCAAGTAACGGCAGGAATGGATGGGGACGTAGCGGGCCTTCTCTTCCAGATTGTGCGCGTTGAAGGCTTGCAAGGGAGGGGCCCATGTCCCGTTTTCGGCTCGAAATGGCTGTGGGAGTTGGCCCCCAAAGCCGGCGCGAACGAACGCAAGATGGACGTGGGCATGGGGTAGGAAAAACGAAGAAGGGAATCGGTACCATTCGGCGCCCAGACAGAGACGGGCCGGCCGCACCGGAGGCGGGGAGGGATCGGGAGAGGGATCGGCAGATTTCGATGCAGCCACGGGCGCCGCCGCCTTCAAATACTCTGCCCGTTGGTGCTTGGAAAAATCGTCGAAGAGACGGAGGGGTGCGGAAAAATTTTGGGTCATCGAAACCGCGCGGGAGAGGGAAAGGAGGGCATGGAGGAGGAGGGCGAGAGGCATCATTCCTCGGACCGCCATGTGAGCAAGGCGGTGTAGGAGACCAGCGAGAGGCGGGCGAGGTGGACCCTCCTGTTCCGGACCTTTGTCGCGACCGTTCCGTTTTCTACCCCCGCCTTTGTTGCCCTTGGCGGAGGCGACTGCCAGCGGTGCCGCCTTTGTCAGGCATCGGTCCATGGAGCCCACCACGACGTGCAAGGAGAGGGCCCCGCCCAAGGCTAACAGGGGGTAGATGGGAAAAAGGAACCGTTCCTCTTTGTGAGGACGCGTGGTCATCACGCCTAACCATAAATACGCAGGGGCGACAAAGAGGAAGGAAGTCCCTCTTCCCGTAGAGGGCCACGCGGGCGGGGGGACGAGGAGGAGGAGGAAAGGCAAAAGGAGGACCAGGGGCAGCACCACATTGAAATTTAGGAGCAAATTTTTCAAATAAAAAGACCAGGGTTCTACTCCGTAAAGAGTATCGTCTGCGCCTACCGCGGCCCCTCCCAGGTTATAGCGAAGGATGCTCCAGACTGGGAGCACACAGCGACGGTAAAAGAAGCCGTCCACGAGCAGGACGGGGGGAAGGACGAGGACCAGGGCCGCTACCCCCAAGGACAGGACATAGAGGAAGCCCTGGCGACATTGCCGGGCAACACCCGGACCGGGACTGTGGGACACGGCCTCGTAGAGCGTGTGCAGCGCCAGGGGGAGGAAGAGGAGTGCCACAAAGGGCCAACCCAGGCCCACGACGGCAGTGACGGCGGCCAGCGTGGCCCATGCGTACCGACGCGACAGCCAACAAGCCGTGGTCACCATGACAAAATTGCTGGCCGCGCTGGAGGGGAGAAGGGCGGGGGAGGCTTGGAACATCCCCGCAGACGTGAGGAGGAGCGCGAAGGTCAAAAATCCGGGGCGGGCACCGAAGCGCCGGGTGACGGCATCGACAAAGGTGGCTTCGGAGCTGGCCGAGATCAAGGAGAACACGACCCGAAGGAAATAAAATAAAAGGCGCTTGTCCGGGAGCAAAGGCCCTTGGAAGAGTCGCAGGGCCAGAGCACCGGCTTTGGCCAGCGCGGCAGGGGGCAGGAGGTAAGCGTAGGACCGCAACGTGTACTCGGGAGAATACTCCCAGGTTTGCATCCCCGTGCCATAGAGAAGGTAATGCACAGGTTCCCAATAGTTGTAGGTTTCGTCGCAGTCCGCGATGGGAGTAACGATCCCTCCCACCACGCGTACCAGCACCAAGGTCAGCCCAGCTAACAGACCGTACACGCGCGACACGAGCACTCCCTGTGCTTCGGGCGGATCCGTGATACCCCGTGCGTTCTTCGCCCCATGTCCTCTTGAAGACGGCGGTGTTGTTGCTGTTTCCAATTGGCGCAATGGTGGGGTGTGTCCCATCGACGCGGAGGATGACCGCCGGCTGGGAGTACTAGTGGTGATGCTTCTGTCATCACCAGCATTGGATGGAGTTGATGGGTTGCGTAATTTTCGTTTGGGACCCGCGCTTGCCTGCCGTGCTTCAGCATGTGGGGACTGGCCCCGCGTAGTATTGTTTTAAGATAGTGGTAGAGTATCGAGTGCGTACACCGGGCGTCGGTGAGGTTCACATGTACGTATCATCACATGGGGTCTTTCTAATGAGTTTGACGAACAGCTAGACAGGACACGAAAACCAACCCTCCCCGACTTGAAAATACAAATGATGGTGAAAGTATTGACGCACTTTGGAGGCCTCAGCTCTTCGCGCTGAACGGCGCATGGTTATCGCGCGGAACGTAAGTATGCAGAGAGGGGTTTCCCTTGAAGTACTGAAGCAGCAGCGTAGCTAAACTCCTTGACACAATTTGATGTATTCCTGGCAACAAGGCGGCAGCGACCGCGTCGTCTTTTTGTTGGGGACGAAACCTATCTCTGTGCGATCGTTTCGTGGAAAGGAGATGTGGAAACATTCAAGTCGATAATGCGGCAGAGTGCTATGCTCGCTTTTTGTGTGGCTGAGTGGGCGGAGGGCGATACATGCGTCAAAAAGGTTGTCGTACACTGGCGTGGGAGGAGAGCTGAATGTTTACCCGATTGCTTCATGCTTGGAAAGCATTCTTCTCGCGTGGATGCCTGACGACTTTTGCCTCACGGTTGGCATGCGTTTTGGGGGCTTACAAGCTTGATCATACCATACGCTTTACTACCTCCCCCCCCTCGTATCTAAGCTCTCTCCCATATACTCGTGGTATTTTTTAACCCGCAACGCAAAATACAGGGATACGTCTCCGTTCCTGCTTTTCAGTTTATTTTCGTGCGCAAGTTTGCAGCTTGCTGCGTTTTCGCATCGATCGTATGCTGAAAGTTGCGTCTCATTCCTTTTTCTTCAAGGCTTTCATGATTGGCAGCTTAATCAGGGCTACAGCAGCTGAAATTTTCCACACTTCAGCTGCGTGTGCTTTAAGGGCTAGCCATGCTTGTCATCTTTCCCCAACTCTAGCATTTGCCTCGTTGAAAACCCTCAGCTCTACGTCCAGAAGAAGACGGATCGGCCGGTACGGTGGCATGGCAACAATGGAGGCGAGTGGCACTGATAGCGGAGCTCCAGGGAAGGCTGAACAACAGCCCGAGCGGCGAAAGCGTGTGCTATCCGGCGTCCAGCCGACAGGATCATTGCACCTCGGTAATTACTTAGGGGCAATTCGACAATGGGTCAAAAATCAAGACGAGTACGAGTCTTTCTTTTGTGTCGTGGATCTTCACGCCATCACGGTACGTGAATACTCTCGCTTTTATCGCTTCCTGGTTCGCAGTATCCCTTCTTTCAGTCTGCATCCGATGACCATAACTTGTGCTGGATCCACATGGTACGTGTCGATCACCTCTCTTCCTCCCTCTTTCTCCTCCATCCCCCATTTCCTCTCCCTCCCCAGGCACCCCACGATCCCAAACGCCTTCGGCAGGAGACCATCGAGGCCGCTGCCTTGTACCTGGCTGCAGGTATCGAACCGAGTAAAAGCACGATTTTTGTCCAGTCCCACGTCTTGGCCCATACCGAGCTGACCTGGTTGTTGAACTGCGTCACGCCTATGAACTGGTTGGAGCGCATGATTCAGTTCAAGGAAAAGGCGATCAAGCAAGGAGAGAACGTCGGCGTGGGCCTTTTCGACTACCCGATCTTAATGGCTGCCGACATTTTGCTGTACCAGGCTGACTTGGTGCCCGTGGGGGAAGACCAACGGCAGCACTTGGAGTTGACCCGCGATATAGCCCGACGTTTCAACGACCAATTCTGCAACAAGAAGGCCAAAAGAAGAAAGGTATTGGAGGCTTGATGCCTTTGCGCCTTTGCAAATGTCAGGCTCGTGCATTTTCCCCTGTGTGAACGTGAGGGCATGTGTCGCTCCTAGTGCCTGGGGTAGGGCCGTGGGAGCGAGGCCGAGACGTTCTGTCCCGGCCTCTGCGTTCTATGGCATGAACTTCTCGTCTGAACCCCCTTCCCCCCCTCGTCCTTTTCCTTTGTCGCTCTCTGCCTCGTTCTTTCTCCTTTGGATCTTGTCTCCCGCTTTTTGGCCAGGTGTTCCGAGACCCAGCGGCCTTGATCGTCACGGAGGGTGCCCGAGTGATGTCCCTCTTGGACGGAACTAGCAAGATGAGCAAAAGCGCGGAAAACGACGGGAGCCGCATCAATCTCTTGGACAGCCCCGACACGATTCGCGCCAAAATCAAACGCTGCAAGACAGACGCGTCGCTGGGCTTGGAATGGGACAACCCCGCCCGTCCGGAATGCACAAATTTGTTGAACATCTACCTGGCCGTGACGGAGGGGGCGGGGGCGACGAAGGAGAGCGTGTTGGAGGAGGTGGCGGGGATGAATTGGGGGGCGTTCAAACCTTTGTTGACCGAGGCCGTGGTGGCGCATTTGGAGCCGATCCAACGGAAGTACCGGGAGGTGATGGAGGATCCCGAGCACATTGAAAAAATCTTGACCCGAGGTGCGACGGACGCCGACGCGATT